CATCCATCCATCCATCCATCCATCCATCCATCCATCCATCCATCCATCCATCCATCCATCCATCCATCCATCCATCCATCCATCCAGCACTCTAGAACAAGTGACAGGTCACTAGTGCATTGCAGGGCATATTTTTAGTTGGGCATTAAAAAATGTTTTAAGTAGTATGAACATATACAAGACAGGCTATGAAATAATTTATTACAATTATTTAATCTATCTTGTGTGAAGTTCTGTAAAAAAAAAAAAAAAACATATAAAAATATTAGATTTAAAAAAATTTAAACCACGAATATAGTTAAGAAAGGGTGACAAAAAAGACAACATTTCTAGTAAATTTTACAAAGGATGAGTGCCAAATATTTCAGCAATTATGTTATTCTGTAAGAGCATGCTCTCTAAATCAATTGCTTTCGAACTTAATTTGTTCACAAATTGTGTCAAAAACAATGTGTTTACAGAAGTGCTGTGCATTAAAAGTAAATAAAAATAAAGAAAATAAAATTACATTTCATTAAAGCATTAAGAAGCAAAATGATTCATAACTGATATATAAGACAGACTAAATTGGTTGGGTTAGTCATAGAGTTCCCCCTGATGAAATGTAGACTAATATAAAAGTTAAAGCTAAGCTGCAGCTGGAAATTAGTACTGTATCTTAAAGCTCGATATTGAAATGTATAATCAGTGAAGGGAAAAATTAGTATGCACTAAGTTAAAGCACAAGTGGGAAAGGTATACAAGACGTACACTTAATGGTAGGATAAGGAATCAAAATGCATTACTGTATATTGTTCAGATAAAAATGAATCTCTGGCATATAATCCTTGCTATTAAATGCAAAATGGGATAATGCTATTTGTAGCACTCCATAGCAGTTATTTAAACATTTAATGAACTTCTTTACTATTATTTAGCCCAGTATATCGAAATTTATCAACGTCAGCCAAGCTGAAACGATATGCCAGGATCTGGCCTCTAGATGGAGACAAAGTCAAAGTCTTTGCTACCTGCTGCAAAATTAGGTGGCAGCAGTAGTTAGTCTTTCATATTTGTAAAATATAATCTTGGATAAATAAATAAATAAATTCGAACAGTTATTGGCCAAAACTTTTCTTTCTTATAGCCTACTTGTAGTACGTTATTTCTCTCATAAATATCCCATGACATTATGATTTTAAGTCTATTAGATCATCATCATCATCTTATAGGCCAGATGACTGATTGGGTTCCCTTTTCTTTTTTTCTTTTTTTTTTAAAGTGATAGCAACAGCGAAATAAACAGGCTTAATGTAAACCTGAAACACATAGATATATGTTTATATTATTACTTGGAAGGTTTCCTTTCGAGTTTTAGGATGATTAATAAGGTATAGATACAAAAACTGCATCCATATAGGGCTGATAGAGAAGGTCTCTTTCCTTCTCAACAGGTTGATCACATGTTAAGATTAAAACTGCTGCAGTTTTCACCTCTGATTTTCGAGAAGTGGGATCCGCAGCGCCTGGCTGCACTGCGCTTTGTCCATATTGTAAACAGGCAGCAATCCTATGTCACCACCGGAAGTTGAGAAATCAGCCTAAGAAACAAATTTAATTAAAGCTAAGTTTCCTTTGGGAAAGGTAATCAAAAAATAGGTCATAATTTCAACTATTCTCATTTAAAAACACGATTTAAAATAAAGCAATAATCTTGACTTACTGCTTTTTGGTTGATATAAAATTGAAAACTTCGATTTCAACTCATGATGTCAAATATTGAGATGAAATCCACCATATATATATATATATATATATATATATATATATACACATCATAAATATCTGTTGATTAAGATATATAAAAACTACTCAATTTATTTAAAAAACGTATTTATTTATTTATTTTTTGAAAGTTTTTTTTTATCCACATCTTTTAAATTATTTCTGGAGATATAAGGTTGATAAACCTTATATCTCCAGATAAGCTTGTTAAAACAACAGAGGATGACAAACAGGGATCTCTGGCCTCATTCGTCCCTTCCAAGTTAAATGTCTTTAACAGCAGAGATGAGCAAAAACATTTATTTCGAAGGAATTTTTACTTTTAAATTATAAATTATTACTTCTTAGCGTTGAATTATAACTTAATCATTGCGTTGCGCTTACTTATAATGATAATTATTACAAATTGTGCCTTTTTTAAGAGGAGCGTACTGCTGTGCTGCTCTTGGTTGCTTTGTTTTGAAATTCCAGGCCGGATGTTTGAGTTTTAACAGTTCTACTTTGACATTAGGCGCACTTCAATGCCAACTTTTCTAGCGCGCACAGGCGCACTGTTCACCGCCAAACAGGCTTGTATGGAACTGAGAGGACTTTATGCTACCGTCACATCTAAAAAAAGAAAACAACCGATTTTTTAAAGGTTATTTTATAAAATATATAATAATTAGGATTCTAGCGGGTGGCCGTGCGCCATTGCGCCTGGTGTCATTTCTGGAAATCCTATTCCGCTTTGGAGCGTAAGATTTTATTTTAATTTTGGGAACAATGTGGGGAATGCAGAGGACTCGGTACGCGGACTGCAACGGCTCAGAAGCAAGTGAAGAGGCGGAGATCGTGGTGAACATTGGAGGAGTGAAACAGGTGTTGCATGGGGACGTGTTGAATCGTTACCCGGAGACTCGGCTTGCAGAGCTGATAGACAGTTCTCTAAAGTCTCCCGAAGAAATATCTTCATTGTGTGACGATTATGACCCAGACACTGGGGAATTTTATTTTGACAGGGATCCTGAAGCATTTAAGTGTATAATTGAGCTGTATTATTATGGGGAGATACACATGAAAAGGGGCATCTGTCCGATTTGTTTCATGAAAGAGATGGACTTCTGGAAAATCGGCACTGAATTGTTGGATGAATGCTGTAAAAGTCACCTTAAAGAGGTCCAGGATGAACTTGCAGAGATCGCAGAGAGAGTGAGAACTATCCTGGTGGACAGAGAGGGAGACCCGTCTGCAGGAGGCTGCCAGCGCTTCCAGGCGTCCCTCTGGAGGTTGATGGAAAAGCCGGAGTCCTCGGTGCCTGCGCATGTCATCGCCATACTTTCCTTCATCTTCATCCTTATCTCTTCTGTGGTCATGTGTGTCGGGACCATCCCCGAGCTTCAGGTGGAAGACTCAGAGGGAAACCTCACTGAGCACCCAACGCTGGAGGTGATCGAGACTGTGTGCATCGGCTGGTTTACCATAGAGTATATTCTGCGTCTGATCTCCTCTCCAAACAAGATTAAATTCGTCTTGTCCTTCATGAACATCATTGACTTCATGGCAATCATGCCCTTCTTCGTGGTGCTTATTCTCACCTCCTTCGGCGCGGGAGTGATGGAACTAGCCAACGTGCAACAGGCCGTGCAGGCTTTGCGCATAATGCGCATTGCGCGCATTTTCAAGCTTGCGCGCCACTCATCTGGACTTCAGACGCTCACCTCTGCGCTAAAGAGCAGCCTGAAAGAGCTCGGTCTGCTCCTCATGTACATGGGAGTTGGGGTCTTCCTTTTCTCAGCGCTGGGTTACACCATGGAGCAGAACCACCCAGACACGCTGTTTACCAGCATCCCACAGTCGTTCTGGTGGGCTGTAATAACCATGACCACAGTGGGGTATGGGGACGTGTACCCTAAGACCACTTTAGGTCGGTGCAATGCAGCCATCAGCTTTCTTTGCGGGGTCATTGCCATAGCGCTGCCCATACACCCCATAATTAACAACTTTGTGCTGTTTTACAACAAACAACAGGTATTGGACACTGCAGCCAAGCATGAGATTGAACTCATGGCGCTTCGCTCCAGTGAAGGCGAACTAAGGGCTGCACCTGAGCGCCACGGACATGTGTGTGGATCCGGGGTTTGGGACTCCTCCATGAGCTCCTGTCACAGCAACACATACTTACCTCTGCTGAAGGATCCCAGAGGAGGGCCAAGTATGCAGAGCCCAAGCATGGAGACTAGCTTTGAGAGTACATCAGAGGTTTCAGAATATTTTATTTCATAAACTTGGAAAAAAAGAAAAAAACCTGTTTCATCTGATGAAATAACTCATCCAAGATAAACTGTGACTAATCTATCATTCATTTTTAAACTGCTTGATATGTGTGGGGGATGACATGACAAATTCCCTGCTCTGAAAAAAAGGTTAAATGGAAAAATGCATTAGCTTTGGACTTGATAAACTTTGCCTTTTTTATTGTGAGGCTTACTTTGCATATGGGTTCTGCTCAAACAGGCAGTTCTCAGCTTGTTATGCATGTTGGGCCCATATGTAGAAGAGGATCTGACAAGTTGGGGGCTGTCTGCAGGATATTTTAATTACTCATACTATTAAGCTACCCAGGCTTTAGTTTTGGTTTTTGGAGCTTTGTTCAAACCAAGCTTTTCCTAACTAGATGGGATAGGCAAACAATTGACATAATATGATACTCAATGTCTAAGAACTGGGAAACTGTAGCTATTTTCTTTTTTTATTATTATTATTATTTTTATAGTGAATCTATATTCCCTAAATGGATCTCTTTAAAAAGCCAGTTTACCTCCCAACTAACATGGTGTGTATATGGTTTGGAAACGGCAAACCCCCTCGCTCACTCGGTTCACTTTAAAAGGGCAATTTAACAAACTATGATTGTTGCCTTTTTGCAGTGAGTGCTTTTTCATAGAGACATCAAAAGCATCTCTCCCCCTTTTGTCCAACTTATAACTTATTACCCGATACAATGTTGCATTTTCAGTCATTGTAAATGTGCCATTATTTACACATAGCTGATATTTGTAGAACAAGGGGTGAAAATTGACCTCACATTTAAATTTATAGGTTATATAAAAGTCTGATGTTATTTTCCTTTACTAATTTGATGTTACAGAAATCTAGGTACAGCATTCTAGATGTCAGGTCTGTTTTAAAGTCATTTTCTAAAGGACAAGGGCAAGGACATGCTGATCTCTTACAAGAAGCACATTATGAGCCCAGACCATATGAGACCTACAGATACGTTAGTTGTGATGTCATACTCTAATGCAACTACATTATCCATATACTGTAGATTGCTCTGTAGCTTTTTTCCTGCAAGGGAGCTTGTTTATATAGATGATAAATGTAGAAACAAATGCAGATTGTGCTGTCAGATTGTGGTATAATTCTGTACATTTTACTGAACCAAGCATTTGGAGATGCAAACCCTTGAGGGTTCGGATTTTTTTTTTGTTTATTATGTACCTACAATCTACATCAGTGTGATTTCATTTTCTGTGTCAATGTGGATTAAGTCAGATAAAATATAAAAATGAGTTTTGGTAGCAGCTGTCATTTGCCTGTCTATTTGTTGATCAGATTAGGAGCTGGAAATGTTCCTCTTTCTCCCAGGCTCATTCCTGCTCTTCAACATCTGTCCCCTGATGTGCAATTGAAGTTCATGAGTAAGAACTATATATTGGGCAGTTAAATGGATCAAGAAGGAACACATGACTTTTCTTTAACAAAACTGGTATAAAAAGAAATATTTAAGAGCTGTTTGGAATGTGTATTTTTTGTGATTAAACTTGAATGCAGATTTTTTTTTTGCTCCGTGTCCCAGATTTCTAAATCATCCTGACAAGTGCCATTTTTAAGACTGAATTTTCACACTTTTGAAATGCCTCAACTCCTACACTGACATCTCTGAATGACATTGAATTCGCTGCACAAATAGAACAGTCACTTTAACAATTAGCCGGCGCAGTGGGCATGCTTCAAAACCTGACATCTATTGGCATGAATCATGCAAAGATTGTGCTCCTTTGCACTGCATTACATAACAGTGTGGTAATTAAATAGTTAGAAAGTGATCAAAGTACTCTGCTTCAACTTGCAACTTTTTAGTTACTTTAAATATTAGAATGCTAAACCAACAAGCAGAAAAACAACCAACCTAATAGATGGATACTTTAGATTTTTTTTTTCCAGTGGCTTCTTTAGTTTAAGCCGAAAAGGGGAAAAACTGATACATTTTGATTAAAGCACAAATTTGATTGGTGAAATGCAACAAAGTTTTTCAATTTATTATTTTCTAGGAGCTAAATGAATTTTTTCATTGAGTTACTTTCATATGAAATGTGCCTTCATGCCTGATGTGACTTCTTAGATTCCTCTTTGGCTTTTAGATTTATCATGCGTAGTTTAGATGTTTTATATATTGCTATGCAATATTGTTTCCTAAACATTATTACAAATTTTGCCAGCTTATTTGAGGGAAATCCCAGACAGCATTCATTCTTAAAAGGTAAAATCTCATGCAACAAAAATCACTATATGAAAAATAAAACACCTAAGTTAGAGCATGTAATTGCAAATTAATCTAACATTGTTTATTAACATGGGATATAGACCCCCACACTGTTTGTGCATTTGAAAATTTTACAACATATCAGTTTGGAATAGAGCAACTCCTCCACCACCTCTTCAGTATTTTTTTCTCCAAGCTCCAGGTCCTGTGTTCTGCATCCAAAAAGAGAGAGAATGAAGGTGGTCAGAAGAGACGGGGACTGCTCAGACTTTCCACCCACTCACATCAAATAAACTACGGCTATCTCCACCAGCCAGCAGCACATCCACACATGTCAAAGAAGAGGGCCTTTGTTGGTGCAGACAGGTGAAGGCAGGAATGTGAAAAGCATGCATTGTTTAACAGCACAATGCTCCTCTCACTGCAAATGCACACGCAAATGCTCACGTGTACCATCAAGCTCAAATTGAGCTACACAAACCTGTGTCCAAATATATTTTTTCTTCTGTCCCTCTCTAACCCACATGAGCAGACAAATGATTGCACTCACGCAACTCTAGCTCCTTTTCATCTTTACACTTGCAGTCACGTGTTATGTACTCTACAGTGACCTGCCCTGATCTGCCAGCTTTGACAAGTTTTTTAACGCCCACGTGTTGCTCATTTGTTGCTTTCTGTGGGTGTTTAGGATAAACTACAATAGAAATATTGCTCATTATCCACTCAAAAACAAAAATGTAACTGAAAAAAACAAAACTGTTTTCCCTCATAAAACATGTGCTTTGAAAGGAAGGAAGTGATCAAAATAAAAATTTACCTGTACAATCATTTTAATCAATTTACATCTCTGTAAAAATATGTAAACAAATCTCTTTTTAATCAATTTGATATATTGTAATTAGGGGTGTAAATCACACCCATCATGGCGATTCAGTTCAGTATCAATTTCCTGACCCAACGATTCGATTATTTTCAATACTCAATATTTGACATAAATCAATGAAAGCTCTAATATCGTTTTGCATTTTATTTGAGAAACAACAGCAAATAACAGAAGTAGCAAAGTTGTAATCCACCTAGGCCTATTAAAACCTCATTCACCTAAAAATAATAATGCCCCTAGATTCTGAAAGGCCTTGCATCAAAAAATACTGCAAGCGCAAAGAGGGTAGTGGCTAAAGAAAGCGAGGTAGGAGGACAAAACAGGTTTAGCGCCACCGCAGGAGCAAATGGATAAAAATAGACAGGGAAAAAAAAAAAACATGAATCGATAATATCTTGAGATAGTTTGAGATAATTGAGTATGGTTATAGATGTTTTTACCATATCATTATTATGAATACATTTTGTTAAAGACATAACACATGAAATTACCATGTCTACCTCAGGTGTAATAAAGCAGCTATTATTTGCGCATCTTTTTGCTTTGGTATTGCCCTTTAACTTTTTATAGATTTACTAATGAATATTAAATAAGTTATTAGCTCATTGACATGCATCGTTAGTCCTTAAAGAGCTTATTATTTACCATCTTTTTTTTTCAAAAATGTATGAAAATATTTCCAGAAGTTGTTTTCATATTGAATTTTTTAAAAGTGTTAGGTCATTACTGCAGTATTTAACAGTCACTAACAGCACATGTCTATTGTCAGTTTGTATACAGAGTGTAAACAAAATTACGATAAAAGTTGTCTAAGTCTAAGACATGTTGCGTTAGTGACTATTAAATATTGCTAACAGTGCACGTCTTAGACTCGGGGGAGCATGTGGGAGTCATAAAGGCAAAACAGAGGTAAAAACGCAAACATATAAAAATGATAAATAAAGAGGAAAGAAAAAACTAAGACATTAAGAAAAAAGAAATGAGAACTGAGTAGAGTATCGATCGACGAGTCGATGCATCGGATCGTCGGCTGTTGGATCGATGCATCGATACAAAATGATTTTTATTTACACCCCTAATTGCAATGA